GCTGTAGCTGCTGCTGCGGCTGACTGTGTTGCAAGGGTTGCTGCACTCGTGGCTACCCTGCAGCGGCAACCACCTGTTGGGGAAATGAAGAAGGTTGTACAGGAATCTGTCTACTACTACCTACTACTAGTCCACCTGATGGGCATATGCCAAACTGAGGGGGAAAGGGTTGCCCTGTCGGCGACAGTGTCATCACTGGACCTGCAACCGTAGGGGGAGCTACATCAAACTGTGGTTGCCTGACCGGAGGTCGAGGCGCCTGCAATGCGGTCAGAATCTGGTTCTGACCAGCTATCAGTGCAGCCAACTTCTCTTGCTACGTCAAATTGTGGTTGCCTGACCGGAGGTCAAGGCCCCCGCACTTCGGCTACACTCAACAGGGAGTTCTGAAGGAACAACACTACATGATCGAGAGTCAACTCATCTATAGCTTCTAACTTGCCTAACTCCTCTCGACTCGCCTCTAATCTGACTTTTCTAATCCTAACTCTCTCTCTCCTTCCCTCTACTTCCTGCGGCTGGCGTTGTAACTCTATGTGGAGAGCATCCGCTTGCTGGATCTCATAATCCTCATCTGACATGGGTTGCTGCTGGCTGACCTGCAAGCCAACAAACTGACTAACGGAAATTTGGGAGACACCCTAGTTGACACCTGACGAAGAGGCTTGAGATGAGGCCTGTGACATGGTAGAGGCGGTAGCCATGGCTGCCTCGACGTTGGCTCTAGCGTCTGCTGCTAATGCTGCTGCTAGTGCCCTTTCGGCGTTGGCTGCTACTTCCCTAGCCCTCTGCAATGTCGTCTTCTCTCTAACTTCTCTTTGCAGTCTCCTTTCCTCTCCTTGTTCTAACACTAGGAAAGTGGTCGGCCGACTGAGTGCACATCTCGGGGTAAGCCTCCTATCGTCTAGGTCTAGTCCCTCAACCTCTCTGTCATCTCCACTCATGAGCTATGTGTGGCCTGCGATCTGTACTAGAGTACTCGCTAGGACCTACCGCAGCATGGCATCCAACCGATTTAAAATAAAATAAAATAAATGTTCAGTCCAACTTTGTCAGAAAGTAGTCAAGCGGTATCAGCAGAGAATCTCAGATTCCTACAAACAATTTTATTCCCACTTTTGACTAGTGTGAAACTGATTGCAATGCAGCAAGGAATGATTACTACCTATCTGTAGTTGTCTGTCATTTGTTAGCAATGTCCGTCACAACTAACTAATCAAAAATTAAAATAAAATTATTTGCTGGTTATGCATGCAGAATGGAATTTTACACTAATAAACAATCGAACTCTTCACTGAAATCTTTCCTCCCCCTGTATCCCTATCGAGTAGTCACTTGATGTCAATGTCCTGGAGTTGTGGTGCAGCGGCGTGTCTGGAGGTGTGCGATCGGCTCACCCGTGTGCCCAGGAAATCGCTTATGACGGGTTCTGCCCGTTATTTATCCTCGCGTGCAATGAGCCTTCCATCCGATTGATCTGGCTGATCAAGAGGCAGTTTAAGGACAGCCCCCAAGGTCCTCAGGAATTATTTAACGTCGCAGACAGGACGGCGATCATAGCCAGTATTCATATCAGATCCCGCCAGAAATAATTTATAGATGGTCTTTGTAGACTTCTCGCATAGGACTAGTCAGTCCACGTTCCCTCTATAGCGCAGCAAGCAGAACAAAGGACAAGTGGCAAAGCATGCGTGTACTAGTCCCAGCGGGTTGGCATGGTGATCGTGACCCAAGTGCTTCGTCCACGGCCCTTCAAAGGCAACGCCCGTCTCCCACCAGCTTGCTCCCCAGGAAGAATGTCGACCCTCAAGGTTGAGCCTTTGCGACGCCTCACAATGAGAGGACTCTCAAGACAGAACTCACTTCGTCACGATAAGAAGTAACGAAGAGGGTAGATAAGGTGACGAGCAGCGTACCTCATAATGCTGCCCCCAACCAGAGATTTCTCACCAGTAACCTGATGTGTGTTCATGATGACCGGTCGATGCCTATCACAACCCACAATGCAATGCAGTTCCACCTCGGCTTAAATTGCCCCGTCAGCAAGCTCTCATCATCTAGTGTGCAACCCTATGTGACCACATAGCCTTTCTGGCGCACCCACACAACACTGGGCTACCCAAACACCAACACAATGGTTATCACTGCCCCACCGTATCCAGCAACGCACCGAAAGACTATTGCGAAGGAAACAGCGGAGTGGTTCGAATCAGCTCCGATATCAAAGTGCAAGGAAAATGAGTGATAGCGAAATGACAGAAATCCAGAATGAAAATTCACACCGAAAGCCAGAAAGTCCAACGCTGCCCAGAAAGCAGAAATGCACTGATATTCCACCAACGGAGAACGAAAGCACCGAACCCGAATGTTAATGAGAGCATACTCTCACCATGCAATCAGACTCGCATACTTCGTTACTTCACATGCATACAAACAGATGGTGAATCACACTGGCGCCTAGCGCCCAACTCAAAGCTCGAAGATATGGAAACCAAGACACAGTTCAGATGCAAGCTCACTTCAACAGGCTATGGTGCATCAGCACCCACACATCGTAACTCTCGTCACTGTGTCCCACACCACTGTTCACTTCACACTTCAACTCCGGATCACCCTCCATGCACACACTCTGCACACACACGAATGCACACCTACTACTAACTATGGCAGCTATGGCCGCCAGCTAACTCTACTCTACAAGCAGCTATGGCTGCGCTAACTCCCTCTAGCCCACTTCGACTTCAGGCTCCTCTGCAGACCACCTCGCACAAGTCACCGTGGCAGCGTTTCCTCATGGCTTCCGCAGGAATGAATGAATAACTGGGCGCTGCCTCTTGATTTATACTTCTGCAGCTCGTTGGTCTGGCCCTTTCCCAGGCCCATAGTGCACACAGTCCCATGCGGTACTTGCTTGACTGGGCCAGGACTGCCTAGGACTGGGACCGCTGACTCAGCACGGGTAGACTACACCACTTGCCTCACCACTTGNGTCCCATGCGGTACTTGCTTGACTGGGCCAGGACTGCCTAGGACTGGGACCGCTGACTCAGCACGGGTAGACTACACCACTTGCCTCACCACTTGCCCACTTGCCTCAGTCTAAACGTGGGGAACTTCGAAAGGCCACTACTCGGACCTTCCGGAAGGCCGTAGACTTGGCCCTTCGATACTCAACTATGACCTTGACCTTTTTGGACTGTAGCAGCTACGACCTTGACCCTTCGGGAAGTCTACAGCTACGACTTTTAGAACTCACTAGGACTCCTATCCTACACGTCTATAGATCGAACCCCTACCTTTACACCGACCTACGACAGACAACGACAACTGTCAAAACACAGGTCACGGGTTCAACACTCGGGGTCAACACAGATACTGTACACATGTAAGGTGGGAACTAGGGATCGAGCCCTGGGATCTGCGCTCGCTACTGCTGATAGGTGAAAACCATTTCACTCCCGCCGGCCTAAATTCGAGGTCCTCCGAGAATAATTCAGTACAAGGCAGGACCTTTCCCTTTCTTATCTCTCTCATAGGCTCTAACTATGTCGGGAGCTGTCTCTAGAAGTTCGGTTCTCGTAAACCAGCGGTCGTCCTCTGGCTCCTGATAGGCAAATCGGACCTTATATTCTGTGGACGACCTCTACCTCCTGTTCTGAACACATCTTGACCTACGATGCCGTCAATGTCGTACCTGCCGTCCATATCCGGAGGGATCATGGACCTCCTCGATGGGAACTGATCACTCGTTGTGCAGAGCAGCAACTTAGATGCATGGAAAACTGGGTAGGTGTGGAGGTGCGCTGGGATCTCTACGGTGTAGGAAGGCCCATCCTCTCCGCCCTTGACTTCTAGAACTGGCCACGGTCCTTTATACGCGGGCAATAACTTTTGCGAGATGTTCTCCTCAGGAGCAAACTCTTTAGACTTGACCCAGACTAAATCGCCTACTTGAAACTGTGATGGGCGACGGTGCTTATGAGCTTGTTCTATCATTCGATGTTGGGCCTTCCTGAGGTTCTCTATCATGGTAGCTAACTCTTTTTCGTGCTGTAGTGCAAACTCCCTAGTACCGGGCGGTAGCCTCTGTATCTGATCCCGGTTAAGTCCTTCAAATGGTCTACACGGTCTGAAAGACTTATGTAACTCGTTGGGAGTGCGGCAGGTAGACAAGTGCACACTGTTGTTATAAGCGCTGGCTACCTTTGGAAACATCTCATCCCAGTTGACTTGATCGGGTCTAATTTACATACGCAGAACTTGCTGCAGGATCTTATTCATCTGTTCAGTCTGACCGTTGGTCTTTGGATGACGGCCAAATGACATTAACAACTTGGAGCCATAGACTCTCATCAACTCCTGCCAGTTCTGACTAGTGAACCAGGTGTCTCTATCACTATGGACAATGGGACCCCGTGCTCACTGACCCAATGATCAAAAAACTTTTGGATGACTAACTTTGTACGTGCCTCAGAAGGCAAGGGAATAAAAACAACATATTTGTTAAATCTATCAACTATGGCCATGACTTGGCTCTTACCATGCCTACTCTTGACGCCCGCATCCATAAAGTCGATGGATATTGAATCCCCTGGCTGGTCAGGAATAGGCCAGGGTCTAAGAAGACCGAGCGGGGCACGAGTAGTAGTCGTTGGCAAACTTTGCAACTGCGAACATACTCTATGCAGTCATTCTTCATTCCTGGCCAGAGTCTTTTGCCAACCAAAGTGTCCCTCTGTATTGTGACATTCCCCTAGGATCAAACTACGGATCTCTTCACTGTTGGGAATGCACAACCTGTCTACTACGTTAGTCTTCTCGAATAGCAATCCATCAGTAGTGCGGTAATCTGGCTCGGTCTCTGGGATCTCCTTGACTTTCTTGAGGAGGTCACTATAGATAGGGTCCTGCGCATACGCCTCTCTAACTTTCTGCTGCAGGTCTCTCCCTATATCCAGATAATGGACTATAGCTCCAAAGTAGTCGACTCTCCTACTTAGAGCATCCGCAACTACGTTATATTTCCCTTTGACGGGCTTGAGCTCAAAATCATATTGGTCTAGTTATGCGGCCCACCTAGTCAGCTTAGGTGTCATCTTGGCCTGAGTCTTCAACCACCTTAATGTCTCGTGGTCTGAATAAACTTTAAAGTGCCTCCTAAGCAAGTAGTGCTTCCAGTGTTCCAACGCTTGCCTGAGAGCGTAGAGTTCTCTCTCATAGGTGGATGTCGCAACCTTCTCTGAAGGCATTCTGGCAGACATGAACTCTACGGGCCTATACCCATTACCATCGTCTTGCTGTAGCACAACACCTATACCATACTGGCTCGCGTCAGTAGTGACGACGAAAGGTAAGGACGGATCGGCTACTTTAAGGACCGGGTACTCTATCAGTGCCTGCTTTAACTTTTTCATGGTAGACGTGCAGTCCTTGTCCCACTTCCAGATCGCTTCTTTCTTTAGCAACCTGCGAAGGGGCGCAACGATGGTGTAGAAGTTGCACACAAATTTCCTATAATAATTTGCTAGGCCTAAGAACGACCGCAATTCTGTCAATGTGCGGGGTGTAGGCCAATCTCTAATCGCTGCGATCTTGCTGTCTTCTGGCTTAATGTCGTCTCCGTCTAAGACATGGCCTAGATACGAAACTTGGGTCTTGGACCATTCGCACTTCTTTGCATTGATCTTGAAGTTAGCCTCTCTGATTTTCTCCAAGACGTGCCTCAGATGACCCTCATGCTCTTGGAGGGTCTTACTGAACACTAGAATATCATCTAAGTAAACTACTACGAAGCTATCTAACCACGGCCTAAACAAGTCATTCATACAACGCTGGAAAGTGGTTGGTGCGTTGGTTAGTCCAAAGGGCATAACGACAAACTCGTAGTGCCCATATCTAGTCCGGAATGCAGTCTTGTATTGATCTTCAGGATGGACCTCTATCTGATGATATCCGGACTTTAGATCGATTTTCGAAAAATATTTGCACCCGTGCACCCGATCTAAGAGATCATCTATACGGGGCAGTGGCTCTGCATTCTTCACTATAAGCGCATTGAGACCCCTATAGTTTATACACACTCTGAGCTCTCCTTCCTTCTTGGGGACAAACAGGACAGGTGCTCCGAATGGAGATGAACTGGGCCTAATCCAACCCTTCTCTAGGAGCTCGTCTAATTGCTTGCGTAGCTCCTCCGACTCCCACGGGGATATCCTATACACTGCTCCTTTAGGAGTTCTACTGCCAGGCTCTATCTCGATGCGATGCTGGATTGGCCACGGTACTACTACTGTTGGCGGCTTGGCTAAGTCTGTAAACTCTTCCAGTAGCTTGGCAATAGGAGGGTCTATAGGTTTCTCTTCCTTAGGCTCAGTCACTGGCCTAACATAGGTTATAAAGACCTGTTCCTCTAGTTGCTCCTTCCTCACTAATCTTGCGAACGCAGGAGCGCTAAGGCAGCAATGTGTTAGGGAGTTATCTACTCCTGACACATGAAACAGACGGCCAGTCTTGACTCTGCCTGACGAACTAGGGAGCCTACACTCGTGCTCTCTCAAATGGAGTGTGGCCCTCGCTGCCTCTCCCCAGTCCATCCCTCGGACTATATCAAAAGGAAGGTTGTCCTCTACGAGGAGAGTCAGGGAATGGAGAACTTTCTCCACTTTCCCATCTTTCTCTAGGCGAAAGTATGCTTGGACTCCCTCTACATAATCCTCTACTCGCATTGTGCGGTTGCCTACGAGGATACTCACTATGGGGTCTGCTAACTTTTGGACTTTCAGCCCCAACTTCAGCTTCTCCAGCGCCTTTCTACTTCTGTAGCTGCGCGTAGCCCCACTATCTACTAGGGCCCCTACTCTACCTCTGAAAACCTCTACGTCTACTAGAACCAACTGTCCTCTACTCTCCTTCTTCATCTTGGCCCAGGCGGGCATTCTCTCCTTCAGCTCATCGGCCACGCCTATGAGGGAAGTGCCTAGAGAGACCCTAGCACAAGCAGTCTCTGGACAGCTATCTAGGCACCGGCCCGCAACCTCTACCATAGGCTCGTGTGGTGTGGGAGTGTCCTGCCGTCTCGCGCTCATTTCCCCACTTGGCCTTATGGTAAGGGCAGTTGCTACCCCTACCGGCGGCTGCCTTTTGACCCCTGGGCAGCCCCTCGGGCCTCTCTGTACTTTGGACAGTATTTAATGATGTGGCCAGGGTCACCGCAATAAATGCACTGCCCCTGGTCCACACGCTGTTGCCAGATGCGTTGGTCCAGGCCCAAGTCCTCCCAAGGCCTGCCCTGTGGCAGACCTGGGTGCCAACCACTTCTCCTATAGGGCGACCTATTCCCTGAACGGTTTTGCGGGGGACCTTGACCCCTTCCCCCCACTTGGCGGTTTCCTCCTGTACCACCAACCCCCTGATCGCTTTGGGAACGGCCCCCTGAGGCCCGCCCCCCTTGGCCCTGGCCTCTACCTCCTCCTTGCGGCCTCCCTCCGGCCGCAACAGCAGCAAGTCCTCCCCTGGCTAGCGCCACTGTCTTTGTCCTCTAGTCCCCACTCAATCTGCTCGTAGGGGACTTCGTCGACACTACCTTCATCCAACGTAAGGATCAAACTATCCTTGGTCTTAACCTGTCCGGAGATAGTGCGACCCTTCCACTTTTTACCCTTGTCCAAGTCCTTATGCCAGAAAGTGGAGACTGACATGGACCTTGCTTCAAACGCCACCACTTCCCTGCTCAATGCGTCATAGGTCATGGTGGGCTGCTGGCTCTTCTCAAAGAAGTGCCCGCGCAACGACTCGGGCATAGCCCGGTAGAAGAGGTTGACCAACTGGGTCTCTGTGACCCCATGGTCAGGGACTGCAACTAACTCGTCCATAACGCACTCAGATGGTTTGCAGCCTGTCGGAGGCTTTGACGCTGCGCGAAACGTCTGCAAATCGTTCGCGCAATAGTTTAAGGAAATCAGCGAGGGGCGTAAACGCAGAATAAGCGACTAGATCGTCATTGCAATTAGGAGCGCGAACCAGGGAACGAGCGAAACTGGCGGCTTCTTCCTTCAAGGCGTGTATAGCTATCAAAACATGCTCATCTGGGGAAACCTTTTGCAGATGCACGTAGGTCTTAACATTGGCCTCCCAATTGTCAAAGTTTTCCTCCCTCCCGTTGTAGGAATCGGGGAATTTTACTTTGACATGCTCCCTACGGGGACGTGCTTCCTCCTCTTTGGGAGCGGTCAGTCTGGCGCCCTTTATGGCACCCGTGCAATAGCGCTCTGTGCTGTCTAGGCGGGCCTTCACTTCAGAGCCCACCTGTGTCGCCAGTTCCCGCGCGAAATCTCTGAGCCCCAATCGTATAGAACGCACGACAATGTATTGACTTCTACCAAATAGAAATTGTTCTTCCTGGACTCGTGCCAAGCGCTCTATGTTCCTCGCCATAATTTCCACCTTCCCTAATAAATCCTCCTGCGTCGCCATTTGATCTCTCTGCTTCTTTATCTCCTCCAATTCCCTCGCCGCCTGACTCGCTGCCTCCATCCTTCTTTTCCTTTCCCTTGTCAGACGAAACTTCCACTCCATCCTTTTCTCATTTTCCAAAACCTGCCGCTTGAGTGGGTCTTCTTCAGCATCCCACTCTTTCATGGCCGCCTCCTGTTCTTCCCTGGGCACATACATTAAGGCCTCCTCATCTTCTCCCAGGGATAATCCAGCAACCCACTCTGTAAACTTCTTCTCCATTAGGGCCTCTTTCGTGCCACTGGATTCTCCTCTTCCTCCTGCCCTTCGCCTTTCCAGTGGTGTTTCTTCCACCTCCTCTTCCTCTTCTACCGCGTGGAGCTTCTCTTCCTCTTCTTTCTTTAACCTCTCTCTTTCTCTGGCCATCTCCTCCTCAATCCTTTTTAACTTCGCCGCCTGTTCTTCTATCAAGGCCTTTTTCTTGGCCTCCTTCTTCTCTCTTCTCCTGTAAAATGGCGGCGGCCTTGGCTTCCTGCTCGGTTGTGTAGGGCGAGGTGCTCGTCCCCGTACGTGTGTCTACCCTACACGTAAACGTGTTCCAGAATCCCAGTGGGAAAATGAAACGCCAAAGGGTCCCCCAAAGGGAGAACCCCACGAGCAAGCCGTACATGGGGTAGTCGTCCATGGTGTTCAGGTGCACGACAAGTTGTCCCACTCCTCACCACGTAGACCTACCCAGACAACTGACTAACTGACTCTCTATGGACTACGAAACCTTACCCTTCGTTCCAGCCAGACTACCACGACCGATGGAAGCTTTCGCAACCACATTCCTTGCAATCCAGACCCAGATGCCCAGCACCTGCTGTCAAACCCACCTGGCTTTCACTCCGGTTCAGACCCTGTTAACTAGGGGCACTAGCCTAGACTCAAAGCTACAGCCGTCACTACAGAACCTGTTGCTGATCAGGAGGCATTTAAGGAGATCCCCCGTAACTCCTCAAGGATTCTTTAACGCCGCAGATAGGACGAAGCGATCAGCAGGTTCTCTCGAGACGTAGACGGGCCGTTGTGCAGCCCACAGCTCAGATTTCGGGCCCTATCCTTCGTATACGGAGTCCTATCACCTGGAGAGAAGAGACTCAATGCAGAAAGAAGAGACAAGCAGACTCAGACGCAGCAAGTACCGTAGGGTGAGTGCACATCCATAGGGCACGGGAATAGGCTAAGGGCTTGGCGAGATTATACCAACTCCAGCTTGGTCAAAGTCATGGTCAAACCCCGGTCACGCCTTGGTCAACGCTTGGTCAACGTTGTCAGAACCCCAGTCAACGCTCCGGTCAACCCTGTGGTCAACACCCGGTCAACCCTCTGATCGGCTATGGCTGCCGGCACCTTCTTCCTCGCCAGTCTCCTTTCTCTTCCTCCTCCTTCACCCTTCTTCTTTCTCGCTGTTCTTTTTTTTTTTTTTTTTTTTTTTTTTCACCCTCGGCTATGTATGTCTTCACCTTCGTTATCCCTCCTTCCTTCTTCCTCGTCTATGTCTCCTCCTCCCTCTCTCCTTTGTGTGCCGAGCTCCGCGGCTATGGCCGCTGCTTCCTCTTGGACCGCACAACCAACTTCAGCGCAGGTACGTGGTAACCCAATCTTGTATCGCTCAGCCCC